TATACGATCTTCCGATCTTCCTCCTCCCATATCTCACCATCCATCCCTCGTAGACAACCTTCGACATTGTCCCTTTTTGCATCCCGACCGGAAGAAATTCCAAGGAAATCGGGATCCTAAAATCGGAATTAAATCTGTGTTATTTTCTGCGAACTACCGGCACGACAAACCTGATTAACCATTGAGCTCCAGGCCGGGACGGTCGCCGGAATCTGGGAATTAGATCCTGAGATTCCCCCGGCGTCGCTCGCGACTTTGAAATTCAACCAACCAAATTTTCACAGAACGAAAAAAAACTTTTGAAGGAAAAAAAAAAAGAAAAACGAAGAGAGAGAGAGAGAGCAAACAACGTGTTTAGAGAGAGAAGGCGGGGGAGGAGAATGTGTGTATACGGAACAGAGACTGACGACACATAATTAAAACATTAATAAAAGGAGATCATGCCAAACCAGCGAATTAAATATGATAAACAAATTAAGCATGTCATTAGCATTAAAAAATATGAATTAAATTAATTAGAGGAACGAGTTAGTTAATATATCAGAATACATGTGATAAACTTCACGTATTTTACATTTGTTACATTTATAATAATTAAAAATATTAAATATTGAATATTTTTTATTTTTAATTCAACATGTATCATGTATAATAATAAAAAAAATAAAACTTTAGAATTTATTTACAGAAAATCACATAAAAAGGACATTAATTGATTAGTTTTGAATTGAATAATAATACTGTCGAATTTACGTTGAACGAAAACGACGACGTACTAAAAGTGAGAGGCGGAGAGGGGGATGATGCACAAGTGGAGCAGAGTCAACTGAGTTTGCCCATTGTGCAATTAGTGACGTCAATTGGGTTCGGCCAATCCATTTGGGTCTAATATATTTGGATTTGAAGACAAACAGATTGATTGGGTCTACTCATTAATAACAATAGATTGAATTAGGTCGACCCGTTAAACACATATAAACCATTTAAACTCATTTATATATTTATAAATTAGTTATACATATATATATAAGTACTAATATATATACTCATACAACCTAAAAATTATCATTTTAATATTCGATTCAGTTTATTCGATTCAATAAAAATCGGATATTATATTATATTCCATAGTTTATAAAAAAATATATATTTCCTTAAAAAATCAGAATTTTTTCGATTTTTTTTTAAATTCAATTCAATATTTTAGAAATATTGTTGTTAGATTTTTTGAACGGTTCAGTTCAAAATGGACACCGATTTTTTCAATACGATTCGATTCGGAAATGGTGTCGAGTTTTCCGGTATGATTCGAATTTTTCGGTACGATTCGGTTCGGAACGGTATCGAGTTTTTTATACGATTCAAATTTTTTGACATGATTCGATTTAAAAACGACACCGAGTTTTTCAATATGATTCGATTCGGAGTAGTATTAAATTTTTCGATATGACTTGAATTTTTCGATATGGTTCAATTCGGAAACAACAATGAATTTTTCGCTACGATTCATTCGAAAATGGTACCGAATTTTTCGGTACGATTCGAATCGAAAATGATACAGATTTTTTTGATCTGATTTGATTCGAAAACGATACCAAATATTTCAATTTAATTCATATACATATATATGTATATATATAAATATCTATATATGTTAATTTTTATATATCTAAATATAACAATTTTAATTAGTTACAAAAAGAAGTTTAATTTTAATTAAATATATAATAGATTTAATGGGTTAACCATTTATGAGTTTAATGGACCAAAACCTATTTAATCCATTTTAAAATATTAGTCAAATGGTTAGCCTATTTCGATTTATAAATAGATCAGGTTGAGTTGAGATGTATAATCCAGACCCATTTTGATATCTCTCCATGTATTGTTGACGACATCTTTTACAATTTCAATGGCAACGATTTTCCTGGAAACCAAATGCAATACAATTCAAAATGATTTGTTTTGTCGGTTATCATCAATTTCGATTTGTGTATATATATATATACACAGTATGTGCTTATGACAATTAATGGCAACGCACACGCTGCCTGTCGGAAAATAGAAAACTTCGAACAATAACATTTTTACACAAACTCACAATACGAATGTTGGACTTTTTGAAAAAACCCAACTTGAATGTAACTGACTATTCCTAATTTAAATTGTCAAATTCAACGACAAGAAAACAATACATATATATATATGTAAAGAGAAAATCTAAATTTATGAAAGATCGAAAAAGCGATCCATCATGGTTACATTTTACACATTTAAAAAAACAAAAAGATCTTAGAGACGAATATTATTTGCCAGCACAGGTTATTTTATTTTTTGTTCTTTTCCTCTTTCACATCAAGCTTTAGTAATTTCCAATCGGGAAAATGTTATTAGGGGTGAATATTAAAAACTCAGAAAATCTCGCATGGGAATATAACCTTTGCTTAGTAAGGTACAATGATAGATTCTATGAGTTCTTGCAGCGGCGCCAGTTCTTTCTTGTCGATCAGTCCAAACTCCTGCAGCAAGCCATGAAGCATTTCACATGATAAAGTCCGTCAGAAAGGTTTTCATTTCTCATTGGTCAAGTTACCCCGAAAGAAAAAATGGTATAACCATCCATGTAATCCGTAGTTGAAAGCGACTATAGTGATATACTTATTTCCAATCCCGGAATTAGTCGGGACCTCGATTCAAGACACCCGGTTACCAAAAAAAAAAACTATAGTGATATAAACATTTGACTAAATAGAGGTGGCTTATTTCGTCAATAACCGAAGAAATCAAACTGAATAACACATACCCAAACCCAATTGGATTTGATATAAAAACTAAATGGTTATAATTTGTCTAAGACCGAAAAAAACTGAATTCGAACCAAACTGAGTAGAAAAATAACCAAAATACCAAAAACTTCTTCAAGAAAATGAGTATTTTTGTGTATAAACCAAATCCGAACCGAATATAATATAAAAACTAAACAGTTATGATTTTTTTAAAACCGAAATAACCGTGAACCCGAATATAACTGAACCGAATCCGAATAAGCCACCCCTACCGGCAATCATCAGATGAAGAGAGTAACGAGAAGAGGAGAGATTACATGAGTGAAGAGGACAAAGTGCTTGAAGCATGTGTTGAGATGGGCTTCCTCTTTCAGGCTGACGATCTTCTGGAAATGAGAGTGGTAAATGTGCGCATAAACCCGGAACAATCTCTTAAATATCGTCTTCACCACCTCCTTGAAGTTTGGCGGAAATGGAGCGCCTGGAAAATTTCAGCCGAAAAGATCGAGATCATATTGCGCAGAATGTTTTTTCGATATCTGATCCATGACCATTTCAAAAATATTACCGAGCCTTTGAGGAAATATGGATTCATCATCAAGCTGAGTTTCAATCCAATCCATCAAATACTCCACGTATTTTGGAGCAGAAACCTCGATCGGCTTCTTGATTTGTACACCATCTGCCCATCTGTACTCATACCTGAAAAGTTTTTGCCCACAGTTTGCTTACAGAGTGCAACCACAGCAAGATCGCATTGAGAGAATCAAAGGGGTCCGGTTAATGAGAATGTCAGCCATATTGTATTGGTTTGATTTGATTAAATGCAACTTAGAAGGAATAACCGAGAGGTAAAGAATCACATTCATCACTCAAATAAGTAACTGTTTCCAGAATTTGAAGCCATGCTTTAACAGATGGGTCGACGAAATGGAGTACTAATCCTTCTAACGAATAACATCACCTAAAGGAAAATCAGATTGTAATTAAGCAACTCTACATCATTTCAAGGCAAAACTAAGCATTTCGCTTGGAGACATGAAGAAGCATTTCACTCACAAAGACTACAGCCATCCATCAATATGGTAAGAAAATTAAGCTACTAATTCTCCCTAATCCTCGCGTCACGGGTTTTCAAATCCAAAGAGGGCTCAAATAATTAAACAAGAAAGTACCAATTAGAGCTGTTCACCGGCCCTTCTTTACTTAACAATCAGAAGGATCTCTACTGAATAAAATAATTTAGAAGCGTAATGATTTCAACCTATCATTATTCATTATGGAAGGGGGGAAAGGTCATACTTGGGACCAGCAGTCATTGTGGGACAGTTATCTGGAGTGCAGAACTCCGTAAGCGTACCATACAGCAAATTCACCTGGTTGAAGAAATCCACAGCTGAAAAGCAAAAAAAAAAAAGTTTCAGAATATATATGTTCAAAATAGCGATACGCATAATCCTGATAGGATAAAATCCGCCAGAAAAACATATGCAACGACCAACAGAAAATCTCAAAACGCATCCCTATATTAGTGCGCCTTTGAAGTGGAAGCGGAGTGTGTTCTTACTGTTGACAGCAAGCCATTCGTTTAGATCCTCGCCCGGAGGAAGTCTTACGGCTTCCCTCAGGTTCCCGCTACCTAAGGTGGCATCTATATGCTTTCGAAGCTGTGCACCCTATAACACAGCAAGAAACAAAGTCAGACAAAAAGAAGCAAACACCAGATGTCTTAACAAATAATTACAGCTACAAAACCTCATAGCACAAGAATTCAAAAATAATATGGACAACATACCTTGCTTCCAGAAGGTGCACTCTTTTTAGGGCGGAAAGTCTTTTGATTCCTATTACGGAAGTAAAAAGGCAAAAGGAGAAAAATAGAGATGTTATCAAATAAAATCATCAATGTCAGTGGAAAGGCAAATAATCATTAGAACAAATCAAGGTGATGATGCACAATTCCTATAGCTGCGAGCCTGCAACCCGAAAAGTCCAATTTATCAAGGAAAACTCAACATACATAGAACAAAATTTTGCCAAGAATCACCACATTAGACTGATCAATCATGGTCCATCCATGTTTCTATCAATGGATGGCCTACTTTTTAGTTTAGAAGCCAAGATTATGAATTGAACCCTGAGGACAAAATGAAACTTATTGCCTAGTGACAGAGTTTCCAGATGTGGCAAAGATAAACATTAATCATCATCTTCCAGACTCCCACTGGCGCCAACCAGGCTTTCAGGGAACAGGTTTCAATACTGAAGACTAATCCGGCACCAGCGAGCCAACGCACATCATCCGATCACAAATCTCTTCAGACACCATCCTTAATTTCTTCTTTCATGAACAACTAACAAGCCTTTCCTATAACTTTTTGCTAGACACAAGACCCCAAAATCAAGTTCAGTAGATCGGGAAAAGGATCCAGACATAAATACTCTCGTTGGCAGATCACAAACTTCTCAAGTAAACTGAAACACATGCTCGAATCATGAAGCCACACATAAATGACATATTTACAGAATCCATCGTCTAACCTACTAGAAACACTCAGTTCCAGAGACAAATTGCAAAGTTTTAAAGGCGTGTCTGACAAAACAGAAGTTTCGAACTGGAGATCGCAACTTCACGGAACACAGAATCACATAAATAAATAAATAAGAAATATTAACAGAGACACGTTGAATTACGTGATCCTGCAGAGAACCAACAGATAGTATATAGATCGGATCCCAAAAGCAGCTAGAAATGAGTGATTTCACAGATCTGAGATGAAAAAAAATCGAAAAAATCTCCCGGAAAAATCTCGAATCAAGCAAAAAATCGAGCAGAGAAATTAGAATTTCTACCTCCCAAGCCCGAAGAGACTCATGGCTTCAAGCGACCGAGCGAGCGAGAGAGAGAGAGTCGTCGAATCGCTTTTCCGAATGAGGGAAAAGAAGTGAGACTTTGGAAAGAGCCTGTAAAAAGAGAGGGCCTTTTTAAGGCAAAGCCCCGTGGATTCTCTCCTTGCGTACTCTATACGGTCGCAGGGTTATTATAAAGATACATAAAAATTTGGAATTCTTTTATTACAAAAACAATATTACAGACTATATATTAAGGTCGGACGAATTACCGATATAACCTGAGACCGAAATTATAAAACATCATATTTCCCAAAGTCCTGCAGAGAAAATTACATAAACCATAGAGTTAAAAAGTAATAAACAGATTATTACAAGTTTTATTATGTAACTATTATAAAGTCTCCTTGTATTTAAGAGTCTCCTTCGTATCACAAAGTTTGGAGCATTTCTCCTTCGTGAATGTCTCCAGATTCTGTAGTTTAGCTCCGACAGTCGTTAACTCCGGCAACCCAAAAAGGTACAGAGCCCGTACGGAATCTAGACTATTCCGTGCTCCGCCTTCTTGCCCGAACACTTCCTCCAGATTATCGCAGAACCTTATGCGAAGATTCTCCAATTTCTTGGGCAGATGGGGAACAGGGAAGAGGGTTTTGATGTTAGGGCAACAGTCTATGCTCAGTTTCTTCAGATTCACGAAGCTCCCTTCACTGCATATGCTCTTCATCAATGGAAGATTCGATATCCAGAGAATCTCCAGAGATTCGACAATGCCGGCGAAAAGGGTCTCCATTCCAACGCATTTCTCAACCCAACAACCCTTCACGGATCTCATCTTGAACGCCTCGAAGATCGACGACACACTTTCAGAGCGATTCTCCGCGAAAGAGACGAACTCGGCTTTCGCTAGGGTTTCCTTCTCATGATCGGACAAGCAATTCCAGTCATTAGATCCACGGATCTCTAAGATCTTGATGCCACTGTCTGAATCCATGAAGTTTCTGATCTTCATGTATACAGAATCGTATCTGTCGCCGTCATGGACAAATTCCTCTCCCTCGCCTTTCTTCTCATGGCGGACCCCAGCTTGAGCCTCATCTTCTGTTTTCTCCCCGGTCTCTGACTTGTTCCCCAAGATTTCTCGTGTCTCGTCTATGGCTCCAGATGATCTCAGCTCTTCCTCGATTTTGCTCCATTCATCGAGTTTCCACTCTCTCGAATCCGGAAGAACGATACGTTTCGAAGAACGCAGACAGCTCTTCTTCTTCCTTGGCAACTCTGGTAATGTTTTGAGTTTGGTTCCACAGAGATTAAGCTCGCGCAGGTAAGACATGCCCTTGAATGATCCGTCGATCTTTTCGAGTTTTTCGCAGCCCGAAACGTCAAAGACCTCGAGATTGGCGAGAGCCTCGATGTTTGGAAGAGATCCTAACATTTTGCAGTCTCTCAAAAGAAACTGGCTGAGTTTGGACAGGCCGGCGATCTCGTTAGGCAGCTCTCTCAGACTAGTTCCTGATAGGTTTAGGGTTCTTAGCTCGTCCTTGTCCTCGAAGCACACTTCGTACATCTCATTCACGGTCTTACAACCCGAAATGTCGAGAATCTGGAGAGCGGATAACGGTTTCAGATGAGGCAATCTTCTCAACTTGTTGCAATCCCGTAACAGGAGCCGAGTCAAGGAGCGAGTTCTCTTTGACTGTTTCGAGTCTTGGAAAATCGGTAGCCGGTCTATCTGGCTACCCGACAGGTCGAGATGTTGAAGTTTTTCGAGATGAGCAAAGTTTTTGTTCTTGCCCTTGTTTTTGTCCTTCCCGACTGTCTTGTCGAAGCAAGTCTTCAGCTTTCGAGCTCCATGAATGTCGATGACCTCGAGGTTCGTCAAAGACTGAACATCCGGAAGATCTTCCAACTCGGGGCAGTTCCTCATGACGAGACATTTGAGTTCAGACAGCTGAGAGATACTCGAAGGCGAAGATCTGATCATGAGTCCCGAAAGGTTGAGACTTCGAAGCTGAGTCATATTTCTGAAGAAATCGTCTTGGATATCTGTCAGAGAACTTGCACCAGAGACCTCGAGAACGTGTAGACCGTTCAATTCCCCAAGTTTGTCGATTTCTTTCAGTAGATCACAGTCCTTAATGACAAGAACTCTGAGTTTCTTTAGCTTCGATAACGACGAGACAAGAGACTCGAATCTCGGGTCGAAAAGTCCAAGAACTTGAAGACCCTCCCTTTCCGGACCCTCGAAGAACTTCCCGCAAGTTTCCTGACAGAGACGGTTCCCACTGACAAGAATCGTCGAGACCTCTATTTTCGTCTCGAGTTTTGTCGCCGAAGATTTTACTTTCTTGGAGCGAACTGTTCTCATCATATCGCCAGGGTGAGTGATCTTTCCCACCCCTCTCCCCTTTTCACCGCCGTAAACTCTGGCGAATCCGAGACGGGATCTTCCCAAAACTCCGCAATCTCGAAGATCGATCAGATTCGACATCGCCATCTCGGGCACCACCACATTCCCATCTTGTATCTTCAGAAAACCTCGGTCCATAAGCTCCATCAAGACGGTATGACCCTCTCGATACGCCTCCTCGACAGACCAGACAGGATCGAAGTAACCTTCGAGTATCCAGTTCGCAATCAGTTCACGGTAATAAACGCAACCGCAGTGCTGGAAGAAGTCCAAGCTATGCCAGAAGCAAGCAACAACGGCGGTATGTAACGATTTATCGTGTTTCATCAACTCGTAAGCGAGGTACAGAACTGGATTGTATTTCTTCGGATCGATCGCGCTCTTACAGCCAGCTGCTGATTCCGATGATTCCGAGGAGAGTATCGATTCCTCGAATGCCTTCTTCTGTTCCTCGGATAGAACGGTTTCGTTGGAACCGTTCCGTTTTAAACGACTTAACGATTTCGCCAGCGTAGAGATTGCAGCAGGTAAACCTTTGCTCTTTCTTATGATACATGAAATCAAAGTCGGATCATCAATCTCCTTTTGTTCTTGAAGGGAATTGAGCGAAACCCTCCAACCTTTGTCGGTTAAGGACCCGAGAATTTCCCGAGAACCGTCAAGTAACGCGTCTGACTCGTCCTTCTTGAGCGGTTCGACCTCAAGAACGTTATTCCCGCCTCCTCCTCCTTCCCGTCTCGTGATCAGAATCTTTACAGCGTGTCCGCCGTCGTGTTCAAGAAACTCTTGAAGTTTCAAATCTTTCATCACTTCCTCTTCCTTGGTGATACTTCCTTCGTCATCCAAAACCAACAGTATATACTTTTCTTCTGCAGATGTTGCAGATTTCTTCTCTTCATCAGCCGGGCTTTTCTCTTCTTCAGCCGGCTTTTTCTCTTCTTTATCCGATTTCGCATCTTCGACCAGTTTTTTCGCCTCTTTCTCCGGTTTCTTCGCATCTTCGGCTGGGTTTTTCTCTTCTTTCTCTGGTTTCTTCACATCTTCAGCCGATTTTTTCTCTTCTTTCTCCGGTTTCTTCGCTTCTTTCTTCGGTTTCATCGCATCTTCACCCAGGTTTTTCGCGTCTTCAGCCGGATTCTTCCTCTTGTTTAGCTCCTCAAGAATCTTCTTCTTCAGATCATTCACGTTTCCTTCTTCAGCATCATCGTCAATCTCTTCGTACGAGAAAAACACGGATAACTGGGAAGCAAGATTCCGGTAAAGAGATGAATCGTCGAGTTGTCGGTTGAGATGTAACCAGAGAGCCAAGAAACAGGAGCCGCCGCCATTTTCTTTCTCTTTGGACAACAGGTTGTTGCAGATCTTCTCCGAAAGCCACGTCTTCCCACTGCCAGATTCGCCGACAAGCACAACTCTTGAAACGGCTTTGTCTTGGAACGATTTCGCAATCTGGTCGCTCATTTCTCCTCTGTTCTTGCCTTTTATCTTCTCTTTAAGCGATGGTGATGATACTCGTGAATCCATTTCTGGTAAATTATGAGATATAATCAAGCTTTGGTAATATATATATATATATATATATATATGTATATATATATATGTATATATGTTCTTTCTAATGCTGTGGATAGTAATGAATTACAGAGATATTTATAGACATACAATGGTAGGTATAATACATTTACAATATACTATACAGTTATATATACTTATCATCCTTATTTTATTTATTTTATTGGGATTAATATTTTTCGTCTAATTGTTTGATTAGATTATCTCTATGGTATGTCTCTTGATTTTGTTCAAGAAATAACAATGAAAGAATTTTAAAAAATAACATATATAATATGGTAAATCACATATAAATATACAAATTTGTAATCAACCCCATATTAATATACGAATTTTAAATTTTCCAAAAATTCAGATTCTAAACTAAAATAACAAATCTTACAAAAAAAAAACTTTTAAAAAACTATAGGTTTAACCGGTAGTTTATTTGGAGTGTTTGTAAAATTTTGTATATTTTTATAAAATTCTTTAAAAATTTATGGTTTAAATTTTTGTATTTTTTTTTTTGAAAATTTTAAAATATATGTATTAATATGAGAAATAATAGATTCATATATTTATATGAGATTTTCTAGACAAAAATAATAACAATAATTGCGTGGAAAAAAAAGGGTTTTGGTTTATTATTATGTTTGGATTATTTAAAAAAAATGAAAATTTATGGAAAGAAAATGCTAAAAAAAAGTAAATATCAAAGCCAAATACCACATGAAGCAAGAATTGCAGATATCATCAAACAATTTTCTTGGGTAGCAAGAAAGAAAGAAACCAATGTATCTCTCATTAACCAATACCTTTTTTTGTGAACTTAGGACCCACACGAAGTGTACGTATAGATCTATACAAGTCTGCCTTAACCCATGATTTCATGTAATAAATTTACACATATAATTTGATAGAGTCAAATTTTAATTTTATGGGGACATTTGATGATTTTACTCATAATTTTATCAAATTTATAAAGAAATTAACATTTTTACTCAACCCAAATGGGGGCACGTGCCTCCACCCCAATTCATGTAGATCCGCCACTGATTCCATGTATACATACTTCTGTATTGATAATCCACCAACTTCTACGGTTTTATCCGTAAAATCACACAGTATGTGATTCAGATTCATATGCATCTCACAACCATGTACGTGTGTGTGTGTATATTATATGATGCATATATAAGCAAGCAAGCATGACCAAATAAGAAAAGATCGTAGCATATGTATATATATATATATATATATATATATGTATGTATGTGTTATTCGTAAGATGAAAGTGAAGAGAAATAAAACCTTAAAAAGCTGAAACAACAAATTGATGGGTGCTCAGAGAGATTGTTCTGATTGATTTCTCAATTTTTTTTTTTTTTTTTTTTGTGTGTGTGGGGGTGTTCAGTACGCTTATAAGTACTTCAATATCTTCAAGGGTCTTGTGAGATGGTGGTGGTTCTTCTTTCGTTGATGCAATTCGGTTATTTATACTTCGTCATCCCCCGGTCGGACCGGTCCTTTCCACTTCAAGCTTTTGTTAATTCCGATTAAACCCCTACCTTTTCAAACATTCAAAAACTTACCCTTACTTTTTGAAATGTACAATTTTACCCCTGCTTTTATGAAGCGCGCGCCGGATTGACCACTCGGAATCGTGTTCGAAATATCAGGGCGCAAGCAATAAAATAAAATAAAAAGTAAAAGTTGGATGGTTTTTTTTTATGATGTTAATTTCTTAACCTTAGATGTATAATTTATTTTTTGCGATTTCATTATTATTTTAAATTAATCGAATTCTCATGAATGACTATGTAGCAAACAATGGTGGTGAACTAATCATGGACACCTTTTTAAAAAAATGATTAGAAATCTTAGTTATTTTCATTAAAAGTATAAAAAAAATATCTATCAATCTCTCTCTATATATTCATTAAAAGTATAGAACAATTGTTTCCATTCAATCGAACATATATCCGATGGCGGATCTATGGTGCACATACCCCCATTTAACCGGTTAAAAAAAATTTATTTTCTATATGAATTTTGTAAAATTTTGAATAAAATTATGAAATGTCCCTATAAAAGTAAGTTTGCTCATAATAAAAATAAATGTGCCTCCGATTATATATTTTTGTTGGTCCTCCACTCCATATATCCCATTAATTACTTCGTGATTTCTCTTGTTTATTTGATTGTTCGGTGGAAAATATTTTTTATGATTATATATATATATTAAGAGCAATAGCAATGACAAAATAAAAAAAAAAGGAACCAAGTGAATACACCTAAAATTTTTAGACGATATATTTTTTGTTTTGTAAAATCATATTGGAAACTAACAATTACTAAAAGATATAAAAATAATAATTTCCATGAAGCATAGAATTTTGTGTTTGTCTTTTTTTTATAAGATTTTTTTTGTGTTTGTCGTTTTCAAGCTTTTTTGTCGCACCCTGATGATTAATTCACTATGAAAAAAAGAATGGGGGTACAAATAATTGTATCGCTAGCGAATCTGTAATTTAACAAAAAAAAAAAAGTGGCGAATCTGTAACTTTTCTTGAGATGTAAGGAAATTAATATTCTAATTCTATCATTGCTTCATTTGTAGCACAGCATTTTCCCGCGTGTTTTGCATTCCGATTTTCGAATATATTTTGCTTGGCTTATTTTTTGAAATAATTTTTAATATATATATATATATATATATATATTTATTTATTTATTTATTTATTCTGTCAAATCTCTGATGGATTCTTTTCTATTAAGCAATAATTATATATATATATATTTTAAATCATAGTGATTCTATTTTTCAATTGTTTTTATAGACAATGCTTATATTTTAAAGATGCCAAACATATTAACCACCACACCATGACATCAACGAGAGTTCTTTTTATATCCAACCCTATGGTTGTATTTCGAATAAACCCAGTTTTTGGTATAATAGTTTGCAGACCACATAAAAGTACCATAATTTGAATATGCAGGAGTTAAATTCACTCCCTTTTAATAGTCTACAAATCATACTGGAGATTAAAATTATAGACAAGGGACAAGGTTACAATAGAAGAAGTTCCATTACAAGTAACTCTAATGGGGACTATCAAGAGTTACACCGCATCTTTTTTCGGTATAATCGCTAAACTATCGTGTTTTTGTACCGTCAACATTGTAATCGTGCTATACCGTACTATCCTGCATTTGCACCGCGCATCTGCGCCACAATTTTTTTTCTTCTTCCAGTCTCGCTTTTAAATTATCATGCATTTACGTCATGTTTTTGCGCACTTTATTTTTTTTTATTTTACATCAATATCACGGTCATATTATCAATCTTCATCATCATGCATCTGTTTCTGTGTCACACCGGATTTTTCAAATCCACCAACAATCTACTATTTAAACAGATTCGATTATCGAATCCCGTTATTTACTTGAGAATTCAAACTCAAGCAATTGTTTCTCATCTCTTTCTTTGAGAGATCTCTTTCTTTGAGAGAGTATATTAAGAGATATTGAGAATATCTTTGAGAGAGTATCAAAAGATTCGTAGAATATTATCGTAATATTTAGATTTAATATTTATATTAATTAAATAATATATTATGTGATTATATTTTCTAATTAGAAATATTGTAATAGTTTATGTTGAATAGTGAGAAATCTAAGTTGCAATTATTATTACAAGACATATGCGTGGACACCATATAGGTAGATACAGTCTGACACAAATCTTAAGCGTCTATGTTTCACAGATACACACACACAAAACACTCAGTTAAAGAACAGCATGGGACAAATTCTTCAATCTTTGAACTCGGAGCCTTTTTCTTCTTGTTTTTTTTCAGTACCACCTAGTTCGGATTTGTTCAGGCTGGTCTCTCCATGGCTAGAACCCGTCTTCTCCTCCATCTGATTCACATTGACGTCTTCCATGTCCATGTCGGTAGATTTTCCGCGGTTAGAATCTTTCTTCCCGGCAGTTTCTTCGGACTCTTCGAGATCCACCGGCTCAATCGTCCCCAATGCTTTAGCGGCCGCCGGAATTCCACATGACTTGTTCATCAGTTCATCTTTGTATTTTCCCTCGTCAATCGGATTCACGTCGAATTTACTAGCTGCAGCTGCATCCTTGTAAATGTCCCAGACGCTCTCTTTATCAGAAAGCGGGTGAAGACGGTGCAAGCTACGTTCTTCCCCGACTAACTCCTTGGCCAGATCCTCATCCCGGGTCGTGAATATGACTCTTCCACCCGACCCTTTGGGGAATCCGAACGAGAGATGTGTTCCCCATTTCTTCCCTTCGGGTATCTGATTTCTCTCGTCGAGTCTCTCTTTCCAACCGTCTTCTTTCCGGGCATCATCCAACACTATCAGATACTTCTTCCCCCACAGATTCAAGTGAAGAGCATACAACAGCATAGAGAGTTCCTTCTCTCCATCCCCTTCTCGAGCGTTTTCCAACTCTTCTTTTGCCTGGTCCTTGATATAAGCTAACGTATCCTCTTCGACTCCGAGGTTCCTCAAGATTCTCTTCACGATGGCAATCTTCGGGTCACCATCCCTGCTTAGTTCTTCTTTCTCCGTGTACATACACACCCACACCCTCGGGACATAAGTTTTCTTGACATCTTCATTGTTGAATACCTCCTGGCACAAAGCCGTCTTCCCTACA